TAATTTTAGAAAAAGGGCCATGTTAGAGAAAAAGTCACAGAAATGGCAACTAAACAAAGCAAGGAAGGCGTCTGCACATGCGTGCACACGTACACACACACACACACACACACACACACACACACACACACACACGGCTGTTCCTTCTAAAAAAAATAAATCCAGTGAACACTCTTTCAACTGCTCTGGTGCCCAATTTAGAAGCAGTTTACAGTCAAGCAGAAGATAGATCAGCAAGCAATAAGACACAACAGTTAGCAATCAGAACCATCAGTGAGCTGAGCCACACCACAGCACGCTGTAAAGACACGCCAGGGAGAGCATTTCTGAGCAATTACCACATGTCTTCATGCTGGAAGCAAGAAAGAAAAACCTCACTTAAGTCGGGTTAGAACCCCATAAAAATGAACTCTCCCACAGCTCTCAAGCCATCGCTGAGATGACAAAGGGGCTCTGAGGACCACGAACCAGCAAAAGCAATGCAGGCTGCTAGTGGGTGAGAATTATTAATGCAGGACCCTTTCATCTTCCTCTAGAGCCAGCTATCTGTAGGCACGGGAGAGAGTGAGAAACAAAACGTGCTGATTAACTGACAAGACAGAGAGGAGCCCCCAGCGTCAAGGGAAAGAAGGAGGCCATCCAGTGAACCCGTGTACGTCTTTAAGAAAGAGATGCATCTGTGCGAGGGACCACACCATGGCAGCTAAAGCAGCAGACTCAAGTGCAGGGGGAGCCTTTCTGTCTTTCCAGGACCGTTCAGGAAATGGTGACATCTCTGTTATAGGTTCTGGTGGTTTGAATGAGGATGGCCCCCAGCTGGTAGAACCGTTTGGGGAGGATTAGAGAATGTGGCCCAGTGGGCGAAGTGCGCCAGTCACAGGCTTTGAGGTTTCAGAAGCCCATGCCATTCCCAGTTGGCTTTCACTGCCCTCTGGCTGTGGGTTGAGGGGTGGGCTCTGAGCTGCTGCTCCAGCACTATGCCTGCCTGCCTGCTGCCATGTTCCCCTTCATGACAGACATGAACCCTAACACTCTGAAATCGGGAGCCCCAAATTAAGCACTTAACTTTGAAAGCTGCCTTGGTCAGAGTGTTTTATGACAACAGTGCAAAAGTAATTAAGCCACAACTTGTGATGACTTAGAGATGGGGACGAGAGGTGATTAAAGCATGAAGAATTTGAAGTCAGTCGTGTGACAATTGTGACTGTCAACTTAAAGGGTCTGGAATCTCCAGAAGGCAAGCTTCTGAGCATGCCTGTGAGGAGTTTCTAACCTGGGTTAGCTGAGAGCTATCCTGAGAGTGGAACCATCCATTGGCTGAGTTCCCAGAATACACAAAAAGAAAAGGCTGGCTGAGCAGCAGCGTTTGTCTCCCTCTGCTTCCTGCCTGTGGATGCCACGTGACCAGCTGCCTCACACCTGTGCTGCCATCCTTTCCCTGCCGGGACAGACTGTGCCTCAAATTGCGACCCAGAATCAGCCCTTCCCCACTTAAGCTGCTTCTGCCAATACTTCGACACAGTGAAGTAACTGACACGGAGGGCAGAAAAGGCCCTGTGGACGCTGTGGTATCAGGAGCTCTTCCCTTTCCCAAATACCTAAATGTGATAAAACACAAAGCACTTGCTTCCTAGGTACTCAAATTTGAAGCAGGCTAAGTCAATGCATGGATCCTGGAAGAACAGGAGGGGGAGAAGCATGTGCTGCACAGGCGCCCCTAGCTTCTTCTCCTCGCCCCATTTTCTTGAGGTCACAATCCATAGGAAGCTTCTCCTCCACAAGGTTCCCGGCCCCAATCCTGAGTAGGTCCAGAAGGGACCTCCTGCAGAACCCCTCCCTAGTCATCCAACTCACAACCGCCACAGCTTGTTATCCTGTGTGTGTCTATTCTTTCCCTAATTAGACATAAGAACACTGAAGGTATGAAGTGGACCTAACCCTGAGGCACAAGGGCAGAAGCACGGGGCTGATGGAGGGAAATTTAACGTATAGGCTAGAGATGCGGCTCACTTAGTAGATGCTCAACCTGAGTCACCAGCTCCCGGAACTAGCCCCCCAGACACTGGTTAGCTGGGTAAACTAGTAGTTCCCCATCGGAGAGCATTCACCCAAGCCATTCCTGAGTTCACCCATGATACTGTGTCCGAGGATGTGACACTCAAGAAAAGCAGCCTCTTTCTATAGCCTGCTCTCAAAATTGGACAGCCAAAGGCCATTAGGCCACAAGGACACACAGCAAGGAGAGAGTGGTGGCATAAAAGTTTACCCAGGCCATAGGCTCATCACAGAACAACAAAGTTGAAAACAGAAAACACCTTGCTGGGGACTTAGAAAATGGCTCTGTACATAGAGTGCTTGTCCCAGGCCCTGAGAACTTGGGTACACACATAAAAATGCACCTGTCATCTCAGAACTGGGGAGGTAGAGACAGGGGAGTTCTTGGGACTAGTCAGGACAGTCTAACCAGTGATCTGGCCAGAGAGAGACCCTGCCTCAAATAAAGTTGAAAGCAACTGACGATGACATCCAGCATTGACTTCTAACCCCCACATGCATGTTGAAGAGTAAATAGCACATGTAGACACACAGAGAGAAAGAGAGAGAGAGAGGAGAAAATCCTACCCTACCTCACAAATCAAATAACGCAGAACCCTGATGAAGTCTGACAGGAGCTCTGCACAAGCATCCCCCAGTGAGAGTGGGCCCTGAGAGAGAGCAGGGAGAGGCACAGCGCCCACTTATTAATAAGCAGCTCAGCACAGTGGGAGGTTTCCTTGTCTAATTACAGAAACTGCTGGAAATGGCAGGGAAGACAGGATTGATGACCTAGATGACACTGTCTCTGTGTTGTAATTAAAAGTTATTTTTAACACTTTGGTGAGATACTGGAATTATTAGAAAGATAGTTTGTGAATTAAAACTTGCTAAAGGGCAAAAGGATGAAGGAAAAGGTAATTCATCCAGCTTGGGAAATGGGGAGCAGTAACTGTTTTGACACTGAAAGGTAAGAAAGGGGAGAGGAAAATCTCTCCTACTTTTAGGTCCATGAGTTGTCACAAAAAAAGGAGTGGACAGAAAGCAGCTAAGGTGTGTGTAAACTAGGCTGCTTTTATTCATTTGTCTGCTGACCACGGTGTCCAGTGTGGCCTGGAACTGACTGTGTAGCTGTGGATGACAGTGAATTTCTGATCATACTGCTTCCTTCCAACCCCTACACCCAAGTATGGAGAGGACAACATAGGCTACCACTCTGTGTTTCGGCAGTGCTGGGGTGGCCCAGGGCTTCGTGTGTAACCTGCAAGCCCTCTGCTGACAGAAGTACATCCTCAGTCCCTTCACACTCAAAAGCAACACCGCTACTTAACTTCATCTTCTAAATGAAAGAACATATATGTGGGGGCGGGGACATTTTGCCTGCATGTATGCCTGTGTACCGTGTGTGTGCCTGATGCCCGAGGAGGCCATGAGAGGGCATCAGATCTTCTGGAACTATAGTTACAGGCAGTTGTAAGGTGCGGTGTGGGTGCTGGGAATCAAGTCCAGGTCCTCTGGAAGAGCAAGAGTGCTCCTAACAGCCGAGCCATCCTCCCAGCCCCTTATCTGCGAATCACAGTTGGGGGGGCCACATATGAGAATTCCAGACAGCGTCTGACAACCACTTCTCCAATAAGCCTCACCTCCAGCCCCCCAGATATCACATCATCCTAACAAGAGGAATTGGGGACCACACACAAACTGGCCCAGGGGTGGACTCCAAAACATTGGCCTTTGATATAAGAACAGGTTTTCCTTTAACCGTTTCCATTCTCTTGTCTGAGATATGAGCTGCATCTCTGTGGAAATCACTCGGAAGTGCCCATGAGCGTTCGTGGCACCTGGCCAGAAGGCTTTTCTACCTTATCCCCCGCTCAACATATACACAGAGGCATTTCTACAGTGGCAGGAAGTGGGGAGAGGAGCTACCACAGGAAGGAAGCAGCAAGCCACGGTAAACTTCCAGCACCCCGGGCTTCTCTTTATCGTGTCAGTTACCTACTGCTTATTTTATTTCTTGAGACTGGGGCTCACACAGCCCAGGCTGGCTTCAAACTCACTAGGCCACAAAGGAAAACCTTGCATTCCCGATCCCCCTGCCTCCACCCTGCAAACTCAGATTACAGGTGTGCACCAACACACCTGGTTTGTGAGGTACAAGGGCTTGAACCCAGGGCTTTGTATACCCTCGGCAGGCACTCTACCAATTGAGCCACACCCCAACCCCTAAATTTCCTCTTTCTTTCTCTCTTATAACGTTGGGAACCTAGTCATGATGTCATCCTACACTTACAGACGGGAGTTATGTCCCTGCTTGCCAGAGTAGCATCTGTGTAATGAGAAATTATTTCACAGGCTTCTTCCATTTGTTTTCCCTTTTCATGAATGTAATCACTCGTTTCTATCCGCCTGCAGCCACTGACAGTTTATTCCCCAATCTGGGTTACAAAGCAGGGCTACCTTATCATCTGTTAGACTTCTGCCAGCTTTGGCCCTGACGTGTTTTAGTTTCCTGGGAGGCACTCCAATAGCCCAGGAGAGCCTCAGATTCCCTGCGTGGCTGAGGATGACCTTGAACTCCCTAATGAATCCCCACTCTGGAGTGCTGGGATTACAGGAGTTCACAGCCACATCGGCCTACTAACAACCAGCAGCCTTTTGCAACTGTCAGGAGTCGGGAAGGGCGAGATCCCACCCGGTGTGGGCTTCTCTGGTAACCTCTGCATTTCACTTACTCTATATTCTGCATCTTATCAGTGGGACTCAATGCTAGGAGCTCTTTATCTGGACCCATGTCAGAGAAACCAGCAGTTATCCTGAGGGAATCAAGAAAGCGTTCTAACATCTGCTACTCACGGCTGTCATCTCAGAGTCTATGGAGGTTATACTGCACCAGTAAGAGCCTTGGTGCTGGGGTCCTGGGCAGGGTTCAGCCCCCTGGCTGGGCAGGGAACGGCCAGCCTTACCTGCCACGTTGATCTTTTCCATGGACACCAAGCTGGGGGCAGCTGTGGTGGAGTTGGTGGAATTTGCGCCCGTGCCGTTGACGAGATTGTCCACCTTCGACTCGAGCTTGCCGATGCGCTGCAGTATGTTATCCAGCAACACGGCGAGCGTTTTCTTCAGATCTGGGAGAGAAGAAAGAGTGTGAACACTGCTGCAGGCTCTGCCACACATGGCCAGCCCGTGTGTGCCAGGACGAGTGTGACCACAGCCCAACACTAGCTCATACATGTACTGAAAACACTGGGAGATGTTTTGGCAGTGTTTTCTTTGGTAGTGTTACTGTAGCGTGCTTGAGTGCGAACTCTGGATGACAAGGCTTTGAAATACAATGTAAAAAGGCAGGACAGAGGCTGGGGAGATGGTCCAGTGGCTGATACCAGTTACTGTGTAAGCATGCGGATCTGAGTCCAGATCCCCTGCACTAATAAGGAGCTGTGTGGTGCCATGCATGCCTGTGACTCCCAGCACTAGGGAGAGGAAGACAGTGAGGGAGGACCACCAGGGCTTGCTGCCTGTCAATACGGCTCTGGCTTCAGAGAAACCTTGTCCCAAGAGAAAGGGAGAGAGCTGGACACCCAGCATCCTCCTCTGGTCTGCCCACCCACACGCATGTTTGCCTGTAACACACACACACACACACACACACACACACACACACGGGCACATCAAAACAATAAAGTATGAACATGCTCTCTCTGCCTCTCTTCCACTTTAAGAGAGAGAACAAAACTAAAATTTGAGCTGGCAGTGCAGCTCACTCCACAGGACAGGGTATGTGCACAAGATACCCTCCCCAGCACCACAAACAAACCACAAAAGTTTTCAACCGTTTCTAAAGTGGCACAAATGACTTCTCCCCGTAAAATGGGCACATCTCAGCAACAGCAGGGACCCCTTTCAACCAGGCCAGACTCCAGCAAACAAATCCGTCTGTGCTGAAAGCAACTCTGATACGGAGCAAAAGGAGTAAGGCTGTAAGATTATTTCCGGACCCAGGTCCAGGGAGAGAAAGCACTGGCATGGCCTGTCCTCCCTCAGCCCTGCAGCCACACGACACTGTGGCTGCTGACAACAGAATGACTGAAGGTGCAGCCCGCCCTCAAAGCAGCTTCAGGATGAAGTTCTCTGTTGTTTTCACTGACCATCATATTCTAGTCTAATCTTTTTTCTCCCTCCTTGATGTGAGGGCTAAGGAACTCCAGGCTGGTCTTGAACCAGCCTGGTATACAACCAGTCATTGTATAGCCAACAATGACCTCAAACCCCTGATCCTCATCCTCACTACCTGAGTGCTGGAATTAGAGGTATGTGCCATCTCACCTGGTTCTATTGGAACTAGAGGTTGTGTGTGCCTAGGCAAGCAACCCACCAAATGAACCACATCTTTAGCCTTCAACATTTTACTATTCTGTAAGGACTTTATTCATGTATACAATGACATATGACCATATCCATGTACATGCTTCCCTCACTATCCACCAACACAACTTCATGTCTCACCCCTCCCTGTCTCTGTGCCTCTGTCTCTCTGTGTCTCTGTCTCCCTCCTCTCTCTCTGTCCATAGGCCACTATGTCTAATTAGTGGTGTCCATATGTGCATGGGCGTGGGGCTGTCTACCTACAGTGGCCACACACATACTCTCAAAAGACAATATCCCCCTCCCCCATCAGCTATCACCTGGCTCATCAGTTAGGGATAGGGGATAGAGAACACCTCCCTCATCTATGCCTAACAATTCAATTTTTTAAGAAAGAGTATATTTCTGTTTGTTATTGATGGGCATAATTCCACATTCACAGGCGTGATGGAGAACCAGACAGTAACTATAATCAGATTTAGAAAAATAGTGAAATAAAAACTAAAGTCATCATTGTTCAGAAAGACTTACTAAAGAAGTAAGGATGAGGCTGTATTCTAAATGCTAAGGACACTCTCTTATGCTGCTTACATCAAAAGAGTGGAGTCCCTTTGTTAGATGCCGAACTGCCAGACATTTCCACAAAGCTTCACCTGGGTCAAGAAACAAGCTCTTTGGAACAGAAGCATGAATGTGTAACGAACACGGGAAGTCTACATTCCCAGTTGTCCAGCAAGAGAACATTCAGTGTGGGACCACCTACATTATGAGATACAAGTCAGCTACAAGGCCTGAAGAGTGCCACCACCACCACCACCACCACCACCACCACCACCACCACCACCACCACCACCACCACCACCAAAATGGATTCCAGACAATGCTGCATATATCCTAGGGGCAAAATAGCCTTCACTGGAGAAAACACTGAATAAAGGACATACTCCAATTCTGTGGATTCCAAGCCGCCCGCTGGGATATTCAGAGAAAATCTGAGGAAGGGTTTTACACTCAGCAATGCCAGAGTGAGACAGGATGCTGTCTACCAGCCTCCAACCACCACCGCGACCGCTGCTGCCAACACAAGGCATGAAGCAAGGAGGGGCTGTGCCCTCCTTCTTCGTCCAGGGAAACAGAAAACGAGCTAATATGATGGGCTCTCAAGTGCTAGGACCTTGTGAGACCATGTTTAAGAAGCTACAGGACTAGAGAACAGAGCCCTAAAGGAGTTACCGGTGGTAGCCAGGGTGGAACACTTCCCATGGGGGACGCCAAGCATGCACACTATCAGGTGAGAGGACATGCTCTGGCTGGGGAGATGGTTCAGCTGCAAAAGACCTGAGTTGGGACCCTGAGACCCGAGCACCCATGTACAAAGCTGGTCACATGGCACATGTCCCTGAATATCAGCACTAGGGAAGTCAAGACAAGTAAATCCCCGAAGCTCACGAGCCAGCCCCACTGTTGAGTCTTGAAGAAGATGTAGTGTTGGCCTCTGGGACCCACCAACATGCTCCACATGCGCCTATGCATATATGCACACATAGAGGGAGACGGGGACGGACATATATACAGAGGCAGAGAAACACACACAGAGGGAGACGGGGACGGACATATATACAGAGGCAGAAAAACACACAGAGATATAAACACACAGAATTAAAAGTATACTTTGCCATGAAGAGTGGCTTTTATCTCTATTAATGGTCTGTGACTCTGTGATGCGGAATAAGGAAGGACTTGATGATGGAGAAAGGGGTACTTGGTCCTTCCCAAGCTATCACAACACTGTTAGCTGTATCTTTCCCTCCTTCGTCCTGCTGACTTTACCTAGTTAACTCAATGCATCCTACCGAGACACAAGGACTGTCCAGCTGTTTCATTCTTAATGCCAGATAACTAAGGACAGCCTGGGTGGGACTTCAGAAGCACCGTGAACCTGTCTGCCAGCGTTTCTTTTTGCAGCTTCTGAACCTATATGTCAGACACTGGCCTCTGCCATGTCTTCTCACTAAGCCACATCCCAACCACCCTGAAGGGTGGGTAATGCCACTCTCCACCCACCCAACCCACCATCGCTGAGCAAGGTTGGCTGATGGGGAATTGGAGACTATCAGATAAATCAAGTGATTTGCGAGTTTGTTTTGTTTTTGTTTTTTAAGGCCAAGGAGACAGCATAGTTGATAAAGTATGAGTGCCTAGGACTGGATTCATGGAACCCATGTAGAAATAGTCAGAAAAAAGACAGGTAGATCACTTGTGGGCACTGGCCAGTCTAGCCTAATTAGAAGGCTCCAAGTTCACTGACAGACCTTATCTCAAAAGACATGGTAGGGGAGCAATAGAAGAAGATATCAAGCTTGGAGTATTTGGGCTCCATATGTATATGTGCACAGATACACACATGAGAAAAAATTCAGTTAGTAAGAACCTGGCTTTGCACATCTGCCTTAGAGTGCAGGCAGACGATCAAGCTAGCAAAAACCTCAGCATCTCTGGGCTCTTTACTGGGGCGGACATGTTTTGTCTCTGGCTTGGAAAGAAAGTTCATTTCCAACTAAAGAAATGCTAAGTCACTATTTCAAAGCACTACCCTCCCAAATTAAAAATAATTTTTAAAATGACCTGCACTTTGGTGTGGGTTACACAGTGTAACCCCAAAGGCGCAGAAGCCTTCCCCACTTTTTGTTTTGCTTGAGACAGGATCTCTCACTGGCCTGGAACAGCCACACATGCTGGGCTAGCTGGCAGTGCACTTCTGGAATCCACCTGGCTCCACCTCCCACCTCACCACCTGCGCGTCTACGGGTACAGGCTGCCATGTCTGGCTTTCTTTTCAAACATGAGTTCTGGGGAATTGAACTCAGGTCCTCACACACTGAAGAAAAATGCTTTACCAACTGAGCCATCTCCTCAGTCTCATCTAAACACACTGTTGACAAGGAACACAAATGCAAAGGAAAGGTCTGGAGAGACTGCTCAGTGGCTAGGAGCGCACACTGCTCTTCCAAAGGAAGCCTCATTTGGTCTGCAGCACCCACGCTGGGCAGCTCAAGCCACTGCAGCTTTAGCTCCAAGAGATCTGACATCCTTGTCTGGAGCCTAAAGACACCCAAACTCATGTGGTACACATTCACACAGGCACACATACATGTGTAGAGACACTAAACAAGAAAAAATGAGAGAGAGAGAGAGAGAGAGAGAGAGATAAAAGGAGGGAAGAAGGGAGAGAGAAGGAGAGACAGAGAGACGGGGTGGGGGCAGGGACAGACTACCCAAGGAGGATGCAAAGATCAGGCTTGTATTCTTACAAATGCACACGGTGCCCAGCACACTACAGCACTAAGTGAATATGCTTTATAAGAGCAAATGAATACAACAGAAACTCTCACCTAATCACAAAAAACAAATAATCGTCCTCACATAAATTATAGCTTTCCAGGTGATAAAATTATTTCTCACCTTTTTTAAAGGGTGCAAAACAGCTAACAGCTTTACTGCAATCTTAAGCAAACAGTGGAATATTTGTTTATGTTGTGACTTAATGGCATTGCATTTAGTTAAGGACACTGTATAATAAGGAGTAGTTATGATAAGGAAACGAGGACAAAATATATTCCTTCCAAATTCTAGCATATTTTTATATTTATCATGGCACTTTATAGTTATGGTAGCAGTAAAATGTGTCCTCATCAGGATTACAGCTTCTAATTACTAATGAACTTTTAAATTTTTCTATGTACTTCAAAAGGCTTGGCAGTAA